TAGAAGAGTAAGAAACAAAACGTGGTAGCCAGGTCTAATGTAGAGGCTAAATATAAAGCAACGTGTGACACTACATGTAAGTTATTGTGGCTGAAAACCTTGATGCAGGAGATTGGATTCACAATTATTGAGCCAATGAAGATGTTTCGTCTCAATCAAACATCCATGTAACTAGCAACCCAACATTCGATGAGAAACAATGAACATTGAAGTGGATTGTCATTTTATTCAGGAGAAAGTAGCAAGCAAATGTCTATTCCATATATGAAGTTGAAGGATCAATTGACTGATTTCACCAAGGCTCTTGGTCGAAACCAGATTCAAATGATTTGTTCCAAGCTGGGCATGGGTAATATTTGTGCTCCAGCTTGAGGGGGAGTGTAAAGATTGGTTCTTTTGGTTTTGTGCCTTTTCGTAGGCCAATAGGGCATTCTTATCCTTTTTTATATGCTTGAGGACATTCGTATACTAAATAATGGAAATAAGGGCACCCCTATAGTGGGTCGTGGAGGCTATGTAACCCTAGCGGGACTGCCTCCAGGCACCTCTCTCCATCTCCTTCTCTCTCCAACTTTCTTTCACTCTTTAACTTTTCCCTCACTTCTTCCTCTCATCTCTCTCTTCCTTTGATATTATATTTTTGACAATTGAAAATATAAAAAATATAAGAATATGAAAAAAGGAAAAACCTTTAAACCTAGAGAAAACATAAGGATAATAAACTAAGTTTTTGTCGAATGGAGACCATATGATGAAAGCTGTATAAATATTTTCATAAATTTTATGAACTTACATAAATGCTGAAGTTTTCGTTGTTCAAGGAAGAGAAGAGCTTTACTAAATTCAAATGTCTTTAGTACTGTGACTAAGTATAGTGTACTGCTAAATTTAGGGTGTTTTTGGTTCAAGCTACCTAAATTGGACTTTATTGAAAGTTGGACAGGGTGAACTAGCACAGTATAGGCGGTTTTTAATTTTTCTCTTTTCTACCAGGTAGAACACTTACAAAGGTCCAAATAATACAAAATAAACTCAGGACAAACAAATATGAATAACAAATTGGATTCTCACTTGTTGCCACTTAATACAACTCTTTTATTTCTATAACAAAATGACATAAGACTTAGTTGGGATCAAGAAACACAAACTGCATAACATAAAAATGAAGAGCCAGAAGATTACCTCAACTTGACTTGATACACCCCACTCCGGGTCTCCTCCTTTGATGGTGCACGAGATCAAGGTCTATCTTAGATTTTATAGTATGAGAAGCCTAGGCTGGGAACCCTTGAATAGAGAGTAATGTGGAACAGGATCAAGCCCTTGGGCTATGTTTGTAGCATGCCCCTTTGTAAGCTCTTAGGGTTGGGGCGTGGCCCCCTTTTTCTTACAAAATATTTCTAACTCATGAGAGGCCTTAGAGAGATAAGAGGGATCAGCGAGAGACGGTGGCCACCCACCCTTGTGAGGGAAAGAGAGAGAGAGAGATGTAACTTGTGTGTTGAGAATAGGAACCTATAGAAACTATTTATAGACTCATTCTTAGGGTTAGGAGTTCTAAAGTTAGTCATCCTTATGGAGAATATATCCAAACTATTGATCATAGAAGACCTGTGGAGGGCCATCATGATCTAAAAGAAGGTATTAGAACCTTATCCTTCAGCTTCCTTAATCTAATCCCATCAAATATATGGTGTAGAGAAAATACGTAACTCTTTCCTTTTATTTTCTCTATTATCGTACATATGCTTTTTTGAAAAGTCAAAATCTCTTTCAATTGCAAAACCTTCCCTTTTATTTCAAATTGATTAAGTGGCTAATATTTGCATGCCACAAAATAGGAAAGGATATGGGGCATTCCTCTCATGGAGCCCCAAGTGGCCCCATGTTCCTCCCCATATTCATTATTTTAGTGGGGACCATGGAGTACAATGGGCCCCCATGTGTATTACTATTTTTCAAATAGAGAAAATGATTTTTTAAAAAATGTTTGCTATTTTATTTTTCTCTTTGATTTATTAAATGCTGAAAATTCAGTTTTAGCCTATTTATAAATTTGTTTCGAGAAAAGAAAATACCCAGAGATTGCTAAAAATTCATTTTATTGATATAAAAATTATTTAAAGTCAAATTAATTGATTCTAAATTAATTTGATGGGATGTGGATCCAACTATGTTAAGGAAATAGTGAAATTACTGAAGCACTTCAGCTTCTACTAGAGACTATGAATCACACCCACTTTCTCAAACTAACCTAGTAGTTCCCATAACCCACAGTCCATCATAGGGGTTCATGATTGTGCTAGCAAATTCAACAAATAGGTGAGAGGACACAATCCTAATTTATGGATTATAGGCTCTCCCTAGGGACAAGTCTTAGGTGACATTGACTTGTGCACACGTATCGCATTTGGTGCATATGGGCTCGCACACGTACACGCATCACCCTCAATAGTGTTTTGCTTCCTGATGCAACTATCATATGTACATGCCGTGTGATGGTATAAGATAAGGCTTTGGCCCTCGTCCTTTCAAGCCCACAATCACACATTGGCTCACTACCCTTGGCATCTCCGACCTCATCAAGGGATAACCCCTACTAAACCTTCTCGGTTGTGCTCCATGCCAAGTATTTAGGGTTTTGGTGCTCGTCTGGCCTAGCTGGTCAAGCCTAGTCTGAGTCTCGGCAACAATATTGCCAACCTCAGTCCCTCTGGACCATACTCCCACTGGAGTTCTTTGTTCCTCTATATTAAAAGTGGTTACATGCTCTCATAAGGCTTTTAAATGGCCCCAAAAACCCAACATTTATTGTGATAGACCTTTAATTGGAGGCTTGAATTGCAAAACTCACAAAAATTGGCATTGTGCCAGACTAATAGTTCTCAATAAAAATTTTGCATCAATTTCTCTCAATTTGACAAATTATCTTTTCTTGATCTGTTCCTCTCAACCTTATTTTGATGTTTCATGCTTTTGTGGAGAGTTTTTTTTATTAGAAACATAGAATGGAGGAAGCTTCCTTTTGGAGAGTTTTTGTAACATTCAAATATTTCCCTAATCTACAATGATGACCTAGGGGACTGTAAATGTCTAGATTCTAGGACTTAGAAAAGCTGTGATCATCAGAAGTTGGGAATGAAGTGGTTCTCACTCCAAAGCAGACATTCCCAAGCCGAGAGCCTCAGTGGTCTGTGGTCCTTGAACATAGACAAATCTGTCTAGCAAAGAAACACATCAAAATCTTGGAAAAGTGAGTACCTGAAAGAAAATTTTCTTTTTCCTTTAAATTTGATGTCGAAGAAGGATAATAACTCATCTTCATGCTTGTCAGCAACTTGTGTGGAACAAAAAAAAATTTATATCCGGAGGAAACCTAGGTGGTACCGGCATGTGTAATACAAGACGAAGGTCCCTACTCTCGCCTGTGATTATCTTTTTCTGCCCAACTTCTTCATGATAGCTTATATTTAGACCATTTTTGCTATCCTAGCAGTAGAGGGAGTAAATCGGTTGTTGTGGGGAGTTCATACACTTGGTATGGTGCATTCCTTATCTTTTGTTGCTAATGAACTTTGATGACTCAAGGTTCTCCCATTGAGCTTTTCTCCTAGTTTGTTGATTAGTTTTAGATCCTAAATGGAAACACACACTATGAAATGGAGCTTGTAAATGTTAGCGTTCAGCTTGTGAGTGTTGTTGCTTCTATATTCTGGTGGCAAAGGATGATTGAGCCCTTCTAGTTTGCTGCAATTTCTCCTAGATACTCGAATTAATTTTTGGAGTTTTTTTTTTGATTGGGGATACCTTCCCTTGGGGAATAAGTGAGTTTATAAAAGCTAGATGACATAATACATTTTGACCGTGCAACAACATTTTGGAAGATTGGTTTGAGGACTGGAAACAGGGTGGACAGTTTTTAGTTGGGTGAGGCAATATATCATTAAAAGTGGTGCATATGGATGGTTGTCTAGAGACTTTGTATGAGGGGCTCATTGAAGGTGTGGGAGAAATCACGTGCAAGTACATCTAGACCTGTAGAGGGTACTTGAATCTTGGCTTTCTTCCCAGAGCAGATGCATAAAAGTCTTGACTGGTGCAACGAAAGGAATGTGTGACTAGTTTGGGTCAGGATTAATATAAGATAGCTTAACAATCTAATCTTGTGTTTTGCAGGTTGGGATAGGATATTTTTGTTCCACATTGACGTTCAACAACCTTGGGACTTAATAGAGAGATACCTTTGAACTATTACTTTTAGATTGTGACTCTGTCAATGTCATCTAATGAATCCAAAAGGTGCTCATTTTCATTTGAAGTTGCCTATTTAGTATAGCGAGATTTTAGAATTCTTGTTGGAGACCAATTTAACTAAAATTATTGATGGCATCGAGGGGTTAATCATGTAAAGGAGAAAAGTTATCTAATTGTTTCCTTTTGGTAAATCATAGAACTGCAATGAAATTTTCACTAGTATATCATTCTTATTTATTTTATTCTGCTTGATTTTCAGTTTGAAAGATTCTTTTAATGTGTAGATAACCCATGCAGCACTTTAGAATATTTGAATATGTTCCCTCATATTTGATCTGATTGTTGCCATGTCTTTTCATTTTAACTATGATGTACTTTTGCAATATTTGCATTGGATACTCAAATGGATTTTTATCCAATAAATTATGAATTTTCCTGTATCATTGGGGTAGACCTTCAAAATTATGATTGCAAAGTTTGTGACGATGAGTTGACTTCTGATATAAAATTATTAATAATGTCATGTTTGAAGTATGTTTTTTCTGCCTTGACTTCAATTAAATTGTGATTTAAATAGTTGTGCAAAGAAATCAGGTAAAAATATGCAAGTTTAGTGAAAAGAAGCAATCAATTACAAGTGCTTCTTTCAAATTTAACATCATGATGTTGTTTTGGAACGTGGAAAATGTGAGCTTCTCCATAGTTGTTCTGTTTGATTTTGAGTGCTAAAAGAAATCCGTTTGCAGTTCTTCAGTACAAGCCCATTAGCATGCGATCTTTCAGGACTACCTAATTTCTACAAAGAAGAAGAAAATGAGCGGCTTCAATTTAGTGCAAGAAAGAAGTAAGACTGCTATGCCTCTCTTCATTAAAGTTTCTGCAATATACGATAGATACTACCAAAATAATTCCTATCGTTCTCATTTTCTCTTGCTCACTCTATCTTTTGACATGTGATTCTTCAAGACTGTCTTGCTATTCTGATCAAATGATCTTTGACATTGGTTCACCTAAAATTCTGTTTAGATATTGAAGCAAAAACTTACATACTCTTAGAATGTATATATATTGTAAATTTATTTGTTGTAATGTATGAGGGCAAATCTGTCCTTACTCAAGGTGTAACATCATATATGTTATAAGACAAGAATTAGGGAGTTGCCCTAGTGTGTTTTCATGGTAGAGTAGTGTATGCCTTTTTTCTCTCTTCTTCTCTGTGCTTCTAATAATATCAGCACGAGGTATAAATATGCTCTCAGCATGATTAATGATATCAGCGGGAGGTATAAATATGCTCTCAGCATGATTAACTTTAATCACGGCAGCTCTTATTTCCTTTGTGGATATTCATTATCTGTCTTCTAAACCTCAATATGTCTTCTACAACTTTACCCTCTTTCGTCATCCTTCCCTAAACCCTAATATTTCTCTTATACTTCCTCCATATTGGGGGTACCTACTGGTCATTCTGACATTCATTCTATTATTCATTCCATTTTTCATGCCACTGTTCATGCTACCGCTCTTTCTTTCAAAGCCGTATTTTAGCAGCAAAATTCTTGATTCTCTCTTCATCCAATATAAAACCCTAGATCGTGTCTTTGCTTTCATAAGCTATTTCTTTCTCTTCCAAGAAAAAACAAAAAAAACCAAAAGAAAAATGTCCAAACTGTTGCTCTCCTTCACGGTTCTCGAAATCTACTCCTATCCGTAACTGCTTTTCTCTCTCTTTCTTATTAAAACTTAACTGTTGGTTTCTTTCCCTTCTTTCTTCTTCCTTGAAATATCTTGCTCTCTTGTTCTTTCTTATTTTATTAACAATGACCTTGTCATCTGCTTCTACTTCTATTGATCTTCTCAATCCTCGATCGATACGTGTTAAACTTAGTGCTTCAAGCTATTTTACTTGGAAAGGTTTAGTTCTAACTTTTGTAAGAGGCTAGTTGTTATTGGGCACATTGATGGTTCATCAAAGCATCTAGTTGATGCTTCATTTGGTTTTGGACTAGATGAAAATGAGGGACAACACATTCACTTTCCCACACCAAAGTTTAGGACCTTATGTAGAGCTTTTGTCCTAGAAATGGAATAATAAACAATATGAATGTAATTGTATGCAGAATAAGTATAGATAACCAATGTAGTATAAATTGTAATATAATATAAATATTGAGTAATTATATAATGAAAATATTTAATAATACTCTATATTAAAAAATGCTTTACAGTATTGGATTGTACTAAGCTTCTTTTTATGGTACTGAGTACTTAAAATTATTAAGCATGCATTTGCATGTGTATGCATGGGCATTCACTAGGTGCTCCATATAAGGCAACTTCTGGCAATTGGGGCTCATCCGCTGCTGCTCTGAGTACTTGAGTTCTGTTTCTTATCACTTCTTTGGAAATTTCAATTCCAATGATGAGTTGATTGCAGGATGTTAATGGCTAAGCAATCCCTAGTTCCATTTTCTGTTAGTGAAGATAAAAGTTGCACTGTATGATACTGTTCATTTTGTTAGTTGAAACTTAGCGTAAGTTGGTTCACTTAGATTCGAATTCATTTTGTTGCTCTCTCTAAATCAAGATAGCATTATTATGTGTTGTTATTGATGTTTTTCTCTAGAAACGTGTATTTTTTGAAACATAAGTCTAGAAGTTTCTAATAACGTGTATTTTTTGAAGGGAAATGATATCATGTAACCATGCAATTATAATATAACGAAACCACACTTCTAGAAAACCATGTTTGTGATATTTATGACCTAAAATTTTGCACACACATTCTCTTCATCTCAATAATCAATCTCATAAAAAAAAAAATTCAATTTGCACCCTATAATAAAGTTATCCCAAAAGTTGGCAAAGAAAAAAAAATCCTTTCAAGGCCTAGATCAACGCATCTCACCAAAATGGATGGCCTATGTTAATTGGGTTAAAAAAACACTTTCTAGGTTGTGTTTTCAAAATTTTCTTTTTTGTGATTGTTCATAAGAATGAAAAGCGTGTTTGTATTAATATTTGGGTCAAACAAATGACCCTAGCATGGTTTTTGAAAATTGTTTCATTGTATTATCATACAACCGCTGCATGAAATCACTCCCCTTTTTTGAAAAATAAGTTTAGAAGTTTATGATATTTATATCATGTTTCATCAAATGGTTTAAAACTCACTTTGAGAAGTTCGGAATGATCCTCCATACTGATTTATGTGGTGATTATATGGCAAAGAAATTTGCAATTTTGGTCACAATAATGGTATTGTTCATCAATGCACTTGTCCCAGAACATAAGTATCGGAACTGTTATGCATTACTTCTACAATCACATGTCCTAAGTACTTTTTAGGGTTACAATTCCATCTATTTTTATGATTAATGATATCCCTTGTCTCTTACATTGTCTCCATTAAGCATCTGGTTGGAAGGAAACCAGGTTGCAGTTTTGTTTATGTTTCTTGGTGTTTGTGTTGTTTTGTGAACTTACTTGGATATAGACGTTTACGATCACATAATCGGAGGGTTATGTTTCTTGTTAGGGCAACACATCAAAAGGGTCATGGATGTTATGTCACATAATAAGAAACATTTATTATCCAGTCATGTGTTATTCTGTGAGGGAATGATCTACTATAATAAGTCTACATATGGCGTGCACAAACGAGGAGATGTCTGTGCAGATCTAGAGGAGAATGCAAACTCTAGTGGCCCTCTGCCTGTAACTAATTTTGTTAGGAATAGTGATGATTATCATCACATACCTTGTTTTACCATATTTATGTTGTTTGTCCTTGATGCTCCACTCATATTTTTGCTTCTCATGTTTGTTAGAGTTTTCAGTCTTCACTCTATTGTCCCTGTGCTTTTGTTGTTTCTTTTTCATTAGTTTGAGAGACCTCTTCCTAGAGGGAGGCATTGGTTTAAATCTTCTGACCACGAGCTATGTAGATGATTGATACTCTAGAGAAGAATGTTATGTGGGATCTTGTACTTCTTCTAGATGACAGGACTCAAATCTGGGTGAGTGGGTATAAATGAGTGTTCGTGAATTTACAGAGTCAAAACCTTGGCAGATGTGACTTCCAGTCAGTGTAAGTTATGTGATGTTACCCCTGATTGCAAACAAACAAAGCATCAATTCAAGGAAAAGAAGGAAATCTAGAAACAAAGCAAAAACAAGAAGGATGCCTTGCAAGGGTGTCGGAAATTTCTCTTTGCTTCAATTCAGAAACTGAATTCTAATAAACTGTATTCAAAATGCAAAACTAAAGAATTGACCCTCCCAAGAAAACCATAGTCCTAACCATTGTTAGATAAACCGGGCGATCTAACCGCTAACTGCCCGGTTAGATCTGGCCGGTTCCGGTTTTTGGCGGTTTTGGTGATTGACCGGTGTTTAAAAAAAAATTCAAAAAAAATGTATATAAATTCTCAAAAATAAGGAATTTGGTTTGTAATGCATTTTTTTTAATATTCTTTACATTATGGTAAAGATTAAAAATTATTTTTGTCATTAATACTCACTTTAATTCAAAAATTAATTCGTTAAAATCTATTTTTTTTATTAATTTTCAATTTCATTTGAATTTGTTTTTTTTTAATCGTTCTTTATATGTTTTTCATATTTTAGTAAATTTTTTTTTTGTATTTTTTTTAGTTTTCAGTAATTTTTTTGACCGCTCGAGACTTGCCTGATCAGAACGGTTGAATTGGCCGGTTTACCGGTTGGGACGGTTAAACCGTTTCCGGGCCCATCTCCGGTTAACCGTTTTGGTTTGATTTTGCGAACACTGGTCCTAACTGAATTCATACCATCGAAATAGGAACCATGAAATGCTAGGAAGGGAACACATTAATGCTAGCATTTGAGTCTCCTAAGGTTGGCTAGCTTCACCTCGGCTGTCATATGTCAAGAAGGGACAGCTAGGGTATTTTGTTCCTTGCTCGAAGTCTATCAAAAATTTGACGCACTTTGAGTAGAATCTAGCCGCTGTTGACACGAAATGCAGAAAACTCAAGTGCTTGCATTGTAGCCAAATCGTATGAGAAATGTCCTCTACAAAAATAGAAATAGACCAACTCACATTATGAACTAATGAATCAGGCTTGGGCGTGATCGGTTAGTTGTTGAGGATGGCAGCAATACATCCCAAGTTTGATATGTATAGCTGAACTACTAAAAAACAGAAAGGATAAGATCCACTAACAGAAGACTGCAATTTCCTGGTACATGTTGCATTTTTTCATGATTATGGCAAGATGGAGTGGGGTAGCTGCTCCGTTCAGACTCACCTCATCAAGACTTGCAATTATTTTTTAGGAAAAAGATTATCCGATTAATGATATCCAGGCACAAGGTTATGGCATGCGAAGTTTCAGGCCTCCTAATTTCACCAAGAAATCTATTTTCCTTGGGATTTCTTCTCAAAAATGGAATACTTAGGTTGTAGAAACTGGATTAGGTTTAGGAACTGCATCGGATAAGCATAAGCAATGTCCAGAGGTTAGCATTAATTACTTGATATGGCCAAAGGTTATTATTAATCTATTGACATGTGTTCCCATGATCAAACTAATAAAACTATGAAAATTCTTCTCTCAGTTGCTTGTTGTGAACTTCTATCAGTTAATTGTTGCTTGTGAATGGGATCTATATCAGATGGATGTTGTGGATACATTACTTCTATATCACATTCTTCATGAGGAGATTCTTTTACTTAGTGTAAACCCACATATTCAAACTTGCTATACTTTCGCCACCATGTAGGATGACTAGGATTCTCTTGGTTATGTTGATGGAACCTGAATTACTTATGATGATTGGATATATGTGATGCAAACTTGTGGTACACGACAACTGGGACCAGTGTTTCAAAAAGCACTTGGCGGTTGGGGGGGTTTAGGGCTCCCAGTGCCTAGGCGGGCTCCAAGGCGGGCGCCCAGTAGAAATTTTTTTTTTTGGGTTTTCTCTTTGTAAAATAGCCTCTAATAGGTTTTAGGTTTCAAATGAACGTAAAACCCACAATTTTGACCCTTTAGTATTAAAAAAATGACCCAAAAATACCCTCAAGGAGCCGCATTTCCGCCCTTGGGTGGGGTGCAGGCCCTGGGCAGCCGTCTAGGGGTTTCAGGCAGGCACCTAGGCGGGTGCCCAGGCGCTGGGCGGTCCGCTTTTTGAAACAGTGACTGGGACTTATGGAACACTTGTTCCTTGGTCTTCAGACTATCAAGTCTTCTTGGAGCATACTAGTTAAAATAAATCTGCAATGTGTTGTCTACATGTGCTTCATTTCTACCTACCTCGCTCATACTTAAGTTATGTGCTTGGAAATTATGAGGTAAATGATGATAGCACTAAATAAAAGGTTATTTATGCTCTAGAAGATTTCCATTGTTCACTTCTAATAAATAAGAATATCTCCATTGTTCTACTAAAAATATTTCTAATTATTTTTGCATTTAAACAGGCACAGTATTTCAAAAGCAAAGCGACAGTCTCGTATGCATCGTGAAAGTCGTGTGAAAAAGATTCAAGTAACAAATAAGAACACAACTGATTCTGGTTCTTCAAGAGAGGTAAATTTGGTAGTTTATTTTTGAGGACTATTCTGCGAAAGTAAATCAAATCCATTGTTGGCATGCTGGATAATTCATACTTCTACATAATGCCTGGCTAATGACTGATGAGTATGCATTTTTGAATCATCAAGAATATTCTGCTGCATATCCAATGCACGGCTTCGAATCTGATTGGTGGAGCCATTGTGTTCATTCCTTGTTTTTTTCAAATTCCTGTTTGCCAGACGTAGTCTATGTATTTGATTTCACAGCTTCATTCTATTGTTTCAGATTTTGGGGGAGATGTTACACTGTATACTACCTAGTAAAAATAATATAATGGAATGGTGCCGAACAATTGGAAGCTGTACCTTAATATTTTAGGTACACATTGTAATTGTCCTGCTTGTGCTGTGATCACCTCTTGAAAATGATTTCATGGTTTGTGTTAGTCCAAACAAAAAGAAAAGACTGCTGCCTGGTCTTCTATTAAACAACAGTAGGCAATTTGTTACTTTTTCTTTTCCAAAAATTTTGTTTTAATTTCTGGGGCCTTCTAAAATTTTCCTGGCGTACGGTCAATTAGAGGAACAGGTTCCAAGTGCTTGGTACTAAAAATCTTTTGGGATTAACAAGTAATTGTCTTATCCAGACTAATAAATAGGGTGCAGAAACGAAAGGGAAAACTTTTGAACATTTTAAAACCTATTCATTATGTTGAATGAAGGACATATACTATTTTATCTCTATAATACTTTGGGTGCACAATTTTATACACCTGTCCTTTTAGCCATTTTCTGAGAATACATTATTTCTAGAATGTAAACCGTAGATATGTGTAAAATGCTTTCCTAATTTGTTTTTCTTTTCAATTTTACAGCACAAAATTTTAGTTTGTTGGAAATTATTGAGACTATCAAATCAATTAAATTATTTGCTGCCTATGAACAAAATGTCCATCAAACAGCGCAACTTATTGCATCTTTTTAGTATCATTTCCTCTAAAGTCTTCCTCTAAGAGCACTCTGCATATTGTTCCTGATTCTTACATGTAGCTAGGGTAGCTTTGCAATATGCAGGAATTATTCGCCACTTGAAACTTTTTTTGTCATGTATTCAGGTGCATATCTGTTTAATGTGTTGTGATTGGCTCAAAAATTATTTGCCAGTGTCAAAAGCTGCGAAGTTTAACATGCTTGTTTTTGTCATTCCTTTGGGCCTTTATTAGTCTTTAAGACTTTAACTTTATGACCATATTGTTTTGTCGTCCTTTATCATTCCATGTGAGCATTCTTCTATGGTTACTTATTCTTTGTCACAGTGCACTTTTGCAATTTATTGGTCGCAAAACTTAATTGTAGTCTACAGTGTCAAAATCTGCTGCTAAACTTTCTTGTCCAAATTGATATGTCTATGTCATTTGATTTTGGTTGCCAAATGCATTACGTTTCTCATTTCATATCTATGCTAAGGTGTCTTCCTAAAAATTCATAGATATATTTTTCTTTGTAGAAGGTCCAAGAACTGGTGTTGCTGTAGGTAAAGTTTTGTTTTTTTGTATTTTTTTTGTTGAAGTTTAACTTCGGACTTGGTGAGAGTGGAACTCTAGATGTCACATTATGGCTCCACCCTAACCACCTTTATGGAGAGCCTGTTCTTAGGCATAATTAGATGATCTCTTTGATGCATGGTGCAGTTAATGAGCTAAATGTAATAAATTTCGACTTAGACCTGAATGTCTTATCAAATCTTTTGCGGCAAGAAAAAGAGAAGAGAATGGGAGAGAGGATATTAGAAGAAGAGAAAGAAGAAAGATGTGGGAGACAAGTGGGGCAAAATGTGTTGATTGGTCTATCGTAGATTCGTATTAAACTATTTACACTTATATATCATTGACATAAAAGAAAGTGCAAGCAATATCCTTATTTAATAATGAATCACAGTTAGGAATGTGCTCAAGGCTAGATGTTTAGGGTGGTGGAGTGCCACATCTTGATATCTTTAGTTCCATTCCTACCGCAAAAAGGGGACCCCTTCTTCGCTGAATAACCCTCATTCCCACAAAGAAAAGCACTTCCTCTGAATAACCCTCACTCCCACAAAGAAAAACCCTTCCTCGCTGAATAATTCTCATCCTCACAAAGAAGAAAACAAAGGATCCCGATTATGCTCCTAATTAGATATTGCACTTTTAATACTCCCGTCAAGTTGGAGTATTAGTATCAATAATACCCAACTCGGCAATTATATCTTGTAGTCTATCGCCAACTTCCTTTGTGAAGATATCTGTAAATTTATCTCTTGATTCCACATGAGGGATACAAATAATTCTAGGTGCTACCTTCTCCTTAGTGAAGTTGCAATCCACTTCAATATGCCTTGTTCTTTCATGAAACATGGGCTTCTTAGAAATGTGAATGACCTCTTTACTATCACAACAATAGTCATGGGTAACTGAACTTCAACACCCAGATCATAATATGGTCTTAACCCCCATAATTTCACAAGTACGATTCCATTTCCTTATACTCTACTTCGACACTTGATTTGTCCACTACATTCTGTATTTTACACTTCCAGCAAACCAAATTACCACCTATAAAAGCATAGTAACTTGTAATCGACCTTCTATCAGTCTGGCACCTTGACCAAACAGCATCAGTGTACATTGCAACATCCATATGATCTTGATCAGCCAAATACTCCATCTCTCAACTCTGCAAATGAAATTCTGGTCCTACCTGTTCATATAATTTGATAGAATGGGGCATATAATCATTGGCTTTTGATCAAATAGGCCCATATAGAGGGTACTTGAAGATGATGGGGTCCGATTTGGTGGTGCGGTTGGGAATCCAGAGAGTGCCTTAATGGAGCTGGACATAGCTACTAGGGGTGATGAGTTTTATTCTTATATGGGGGTTTTGCAAGGGGTAATGGAGAATCAAGGAGGCGATGAGAGAGACCCATCTTCTCTGAGGAATCCATGCCATTATCAACCCTTTTTTGTCACCTCTCTTCCTTTAATAGCATGTGCTTGAGAGAGAAACTTGTGTGTGGGTAAACGAGGCTTCCCCTGCCCTGGTTTTAGTCCCGGAACAATGTAAAAGTATTTATACCATCCAAATATTTTGGATGGTGAAGGAGGTTGCAGCCCTATCCATTGTGATAGGGCTGCAGACTTATCAAATCAATTTGACTCAAGTATAGTAGCATATAGTGTAGCATGGCAAAGTATAGTATATAGCATGTTATATAATATTGTATAACAATGTGGTATATTTTAGTATTGTGTACTAATATACTGGTAAAGTACTCTTAGGGGCCTTGATTTATAAACATATGGAGTTTGGTCCTGTATAATTAGTTTGGTCCTGTATAATTTATCATTCAACCCCTAGTAAGTTTGATCGAGCTCCCCTACATATTGGGATGGAGATCACTAGATTTCAGGGTGTATGGACGGCGATCCTTACCATGGGGAGCTGTCTACTTGTCACGATCCTATGGGTCCCAATCTAACATCTGATTCGATCCCATTTCTGGTAACTATGGTCGATTAATGCAGTCATTATCCGAGGATCATAACTGTTCACTTGTGTGCTATCATGATGCTTTAAGTTGCAATTCGAAGATCTCTCTGTTATCTACAAACGCTGTTTCTAGAGATTTTTCATAAATTTGTTGTTTTGGGCCTCAAATCTTAGTCTAAAGTGCATGCCTGAAAATAGTTGCAAATTTTAGGATTACTTAAGAGTATTTTTGGTATTTATTAATTATTAGTGTTTTAGAGTCTTAAATTATTTACTTGGGGTTTCGTATGCTTATAAATAGACTATTATGTGTCCATTTTGTTGGGGGGATGGGGAAATTTTATTGAAATTGTAATAAAACTTTTGAGTTCTAGAGTTGTGATGCTTGATTAATGGTTTTTGCGCTCTCCCTCTTTTGAGATTTTTCTTGCATTCTTTGATTCTCGTTGCATCATCTAATTAGTAAAGGTTTACAGAGAATATTGGAGTGGCCATTATAGTCAGAACAACCCTTGACCACTACAAGATCATATGACAGTTTTTCATGATCTCCGTGCATGATTTAGTCTCTTGGAAAGCGTTTCATAGGGGCATTATAGCCATCACAATCCTTGCCTGTAATAACAATGGAACACTCTTTCTTCGAAACCATGCTCACATCCATAACTAAGCTGAAAACGGTACATTTTTACTGAACAGGGTTGGAATATTATTAGAAAATATAGATTCCTAGGGGTACTCTGGAAATACTTTTGATCTTAGGATGTAATTTCTTCCCCATGTGAAGGGGATTTGCAAAAGGTCCATTAGGGAAAGTTTAGGTTTCTAAAGAAATCAAACGGGTAATATAAAATAGAGGGTCTGGAAAGTGATATTTTTTATTGCCTAAGATAAGGTACATTTATGGGGCCCGAGAATGGGATATCATTATATAACCTGATAGAAACCTTATTTGGTGTTCCTTAGATGTTCCAAAAAGAGAAGCTCAATAGAGATGAAACCTATGATTTTGGGAGCAATGGAAAATGATGTTTTTTCTACAAGAAGGAAGACCTAGGGTTCTAGTGAACAACATAATCCAAGAGGATGTTAGTGGTGTAATTTAGAGAATAAGACAGGCTGTGGAAGAGAGTTACATTGAGGAAAGGTGCTAATTTTCATAGTGGTGTACTGTTATTTTCTATGAAGTGCAGTGTTTCATAAAGCGCTAGGCGGCACCTAGGCGGTCGGGGGTCCAGGCCGCCTAGCGCCTAGGCGGGCTCCTAGAACTTGGGTGGCACAGTAGAGCTTTTTTTTTTTTCTCTCTCTCTAAAATAGTCTCTAATGGGTTTTAGGTTTCAAATGAACCTAAAATCCACAATTTTGTACCTTTAGTATTAAAACAATTACTCAAAAATAGCCTCAACAAGGGCCATTTCCGCCCCTGGGCAAGGCGCAGGCCCTAGGCGGCGCCTTGGCAGCCACCTAGGCGGGCGGCCAGGGATATCCGCTTTTTTTGAGCACCTAGGCCTGAGCGATGCGCCCAGGCCCCCAGAACCGCCTCGGCAGCCGCCCAGGCGCCGGGCCGTCCGCTTTTTGAAACACTGATGAAGTGCAATAAATTTGGCAACTTCTGTATGGGTATTCTGGTTTAAATGAAACTCTGAAATTAAAAACCCAAGTTCTAAACAAAACTGGGATCCTTTATGGACCTATTGTGTTCTACCACATGATGTTCCATATTTCGACAGAGTGCAGGGGCTGTTTGTTTACCAAGTACTCAGCTTTCTCTTTGAGATATCCAATTTGTTCTACTGAGTTTGATTACGTTATGGAAAACTGACTACCGATTATTCTCCCTTTGATAAAAGTACAATCAATCTCAATATTCTTTATTTTGACATGAAACATGTGATTGGGATTTCTAAAGTATCAATTTTTTCTCCATGAACTGGGATGGTTGTGGTAATTTGCTTCTTTAGTTTTGCTTTAGCTCTCTACTTGGGCATATTGTCTTGTTTCATGCTGTGCCAAGCAAAGAGTAAGCACCCATGAATGTATTGGTGATCAATTGTGGTTTTGGAGAGGACATCATAACTTCTCAAGTTTGATGTGGTCGAACATGCATAATAATCAAAAGTGCTTGATTACTAATGCATCATTAGTAATCTCGTGTCTGATGATAATTTAGTAGAGGATTCTTCTATTAAACACTCATATACAGTGGTATTGAAAAGATGGTCTCCATCCTCTTTATACTCGACATTCAACTATCCTAGTATTGGTCAGACGAGCCTATAAATGATCTGCACGTACCTCTGCTGGTAACTTAAATACTTACATCATGCGTGGCCTTACACTTGATGCACAGTGGGCAATGGAACAAACCATCTTGGGAACCACTTTTGGATTTATGGTTTCAATGTGCATGGGTGGGTTCACTCCCACCTTTCAACTGGAAGGCACTTGATGTTGCACCCTTAGCTTGTGGTTTTGAAGCCGGCTAACCTGCCGAAAAAGAAAATTCATCGCTTTCCCTTGAGGATTTTATGATGTTGGCTTGATACTGCTATTTTAGTGTGCTTTGGAATTTGCTTTTCAAATTCCTCGCAAGAAGCAATGTAATTGCCCTCTAGTGGAGTTGTCCTCTATTTTCGTGAAAAGCAATGTATCAAGTGTGTTTATCTTGGGTTGTTTCCAGTTATTTAGCGAGTATTTTTGCTAACGAGATGGATATGAAGCTGGTGAATGTTACCTCATTTTGCACACCTATTGTTGCCCCATAGATTTCCCAAGCTTGTCTTGTAATCGTATATTACACACTTGGATGTCAACTGTTCTACATATACATCCCATGTCACGTTTAACCATTTTTTTTGCATTTCAATCAATTATCAATTAAATGATTATTCTACTCCAAGCTTGAATGCTGTATGGGCAGATTTGATTGCATAAGATGAATGGAAATTATATAGAAATGGAGATGACTACGAAAGCCCTAGACAACATGTTATTCTTGTGTATAGCTGATAATGTGCCCTAGCCAACCCATGGACTTTTGGGCCATGTCCAGGCCACATATGAAGGCTCTCGGGCCAGGGCCAGGTCCAGTCCTGTAAGGCCTGGAATATTTTCAGACCGTGCTTGGCCAGACCTGACCCAGGCTAGGCCTAGATCCGCCCCAAGCTAGGCCATTCCGGTCCCAGAATTTTTTAAGTACTTAAATACTATATTGGATATATACTTTTTAACTTATGGGTGTGGTTAGTGTAAGTTGTCAACCTTAAACAATCCAAGCAAGGCACAACTTCAAAGTTCGTCGAAAGATGTAATTTTGGTTCAGAAATTTCAATGATGACCTGAAAAATCTATTTCACATTTAATTATAAAACTTAAAACTCAAAAAATGTTATAGATTAAGCAGATCTACAAATAGATGAAAATCTTCTACATCCTGTATTGCAAGATATACCCTTTTTTTGGGACTTTACTTTTTTTTATCTACATCTATATATCTCGAGGTTAAGATGATCAATTAGAGGGAACAACCTTTTTTCCTATTTTTGAGGTGTGTGTGTGTGTGTGCGTGTATATATAGGGAAGACTGATGTTAACCCACTAGCTCACTACTACATATGAGCCCAATGGCCCAATGGCTCAGATTGAATTCTAAGTTTTGCATTTCTGTCATGTATTCTAGAATATACCCAGGCCTGGCCCTAATCTTTTGGGGTGGGCAGGGTTTAAGCCTCCATCCTTTGATGTTAGGCCTGACTGGGTCCTGACCAGCACATGTTTGGGCAGGTGAGGTCTGGCCTGGCCTGTCAACAGCCTTGTACTTGTTCAAGCTTATACTTAGTCATATGCATATCTGAATTTGGAGACATGTATCTCTCCTGCGATCCTCATTTTCCTAGACATGTCTATTCCATTTTGCATCAAAATGGTTTACATATTTCTGGCAAAATTTTTTTATGCAATTATCAATGAAGATGGAAGGAAAGAAGCCTACACAATGAGGAAATTTTGTGAGGGGAGCATCGGTAGTCTATTTAAATTTCATTCCATTCTTTGCATGTTCAATTTACATGATTCTCTTTCTTAGTTCTTAAAGGTCCGAATTCTTTGCCAGGACAAGGAGAAGAGTGCAGAGCCAAGTCTTAACCATGAGACAGGGAGTAGCACAGGAAGCACTTCCTCTATTGTGGTGCCCAGTACGCGTGATAACACCCCACCATCCCTATCTCCAATTGCTCTATCTCATCATAAAAGACCCGTGAGTACAGAGGCCCATCCACGGGCCTTTAGAAACATAAAAAACATGCCTCCTTCCTCTTCCACTGCTTTGGTCATGAATAATGCTGCCACTGGCATTGGTGGCAACATGGTTAGGTCTGTGTCCACATCCAACTTGAACACGACTGCAACTGGCAGCAACATGTTTAAGTCTGCCTCTACAACCAACTTCCGTCCATTGGAAGGCAATAAACTTTATTCCTTGAATGAGAAATGAGAAATAGACTACTAAAGAATTTGAGACTTTTGCAGATGCACTATAAATTTAGTGTTTGTCAGATTGAGATTGTTGAGTTCACAGGAGGTTTTTATTTGCTTGTTTTCCTAATAAAATATGGAATATAGTTCTTTTGTATTTCACTTTCCAGTATAGGAAAGGAAAGCAAAGGAAATGAAAAAAGCAAGAGTCTGTAATGCTTAGTGCTTGGAGATTGGCGTTCACTAGTTTTGGATTTGCTCCACCAGTAGGCATGCTGCTTTGGTGTTTGGCTCTTTCTTGGGAGAGGCCCTCAAATGTTGTGTGTGCATGCTCCATTGAAAACTGGGACTTATCAGAAAAGACCGTCAAGCATTTTTTCTTTTTTTTGCCTTGATTTGCTTGCATATGTGTGTGTGTGTGTGAGAGAGAGAGAGAGAGAGAGAGAGAGAGAGTCTTTGGGGCACATCTCCGGGAAAGAGTCTTTGGGGGTTGCTTTGATGGAAAAACCCATTTGTTGTTGGTGAGGCCATTTGAATTTCATTTTCTTTTTGTTTGTTTGGTCCCTTTTGAGTTTCAATTGGTTATTTTCTGTGACCATGTCCTCTCTTGGTATATGATTTGTTAAGCTGTTTCATGCATTACAAGCAAGTTATTGCAGTGCAGAGTGGTAATTCTTAATGATAAAAACAGAGTGGTAATTACATTCTTGATACTTGGAAACTTTTAAGCAACTTTCCATTGAGAATTTAACTTTGTAGGTATAGTTGGCAGCACAACTTTGATGAGATTGTTGGTCAATGAAGTTATGTCCCTTGAAGTGCAAAATGGCGAAGTGACCAGGTGTGAATAATTCATAAATTATTTAAAGGGTTCAAGAGAATGAAACATGTACATTAGCAAGCAAGGATCGATTGCCAACATCTCTAACCAACAAAAAAGCAAAACCTAATTGATTGTGAAATGTTAAAGAACTGAACAAAAACATCTCGTTAGAAGCCTATGCAATCAATGCACATCTATGTATTTTGAGTATTCAAGGTGTCGTTACACTTGATATACAAATTCAAAGCATCAGCATCCAAAAGTATATCGTGGGATAAAAGCATACTTGATCACAGCAGAGAAAACTCCACTTGTTGTCTTGCTTGAAGATCAGGAACCCATTCTCAGCCTGCTAGCCAGTTGACTCAGTTACTCTACTACGGTGACTTTGGTTTTGCTAATTGTTGTAATAAATGTTAACTAGTATGTCAAAAGACTCAAATCTAATTGGGAAGGTTTACACGGTTACTAAGCTACAAATGGGCAATGTAAAATCAAGGATGTAAGTAATTAAATGATCAATGCCATGTAGCTCGAGAAAAATGCAATTAAAAAAAAAAAGTAGTACAAAATGGGTGCCCAGGTATAAATGTCGAAATAAAAGACGTGGTGAAATCCCCTAAATGACCCTATGACTCGACGTCCTAAGCGAAAATCCAAAAGGATGCTCAAGGACCAAAGTAAAAGACGTGGTGAAAGCCATAAATGACCCTATGACAAATCCGAAAGGATGCTTATGGGCCAAAAGGTGATGCCCAAAGCTTAAACACGTCATGGGGTCAGGCTCAAGATCTCTCTCAAGTTTCCGAAGGACCTTGGCCATCCAAACTTCGAAAGGGTGTGGTTGAGGAACAATGAAATTAGAAACCTAAAAGAAATCCCAAACAGTAGGGCAGTCCTGCATTCTCCAAGACATGGTTTGACGGCCTCGAGGGACTTTTCCTTGGATGGTGGCATGCTAGCATCCAAGGATGAGGGAACACTTGATGATTTCTAGGCCCAAAAGTCCAGGATTAACTTAGCTCACAAGGATTAGTTAATAAAACTCATAGCCTTAAAGCAAAGTATTGGGCACAAATTGTTTTCTCAAATTTAACTTGTAGGAGTTAAACTGTAAGACATGTCTTTTAAAAATACATTTCAAAAATCTTTCAAAAGGGTTTTTTTCCAACAAAATTTTCAAAATTTTCAACTTTCAAAATTAACCAAAATTTTCAAGAAATGTTAAATGCTCGCATGAGCCTAAACTAATGACCAAAATCTTTATTTTTTTTTGTTGAAAGTTTTATTTTAAAATTTCCCAAAAGGCCTTCGAATTTTCTTTTGAAATTTTATTTTTCAAAATTATCAAAATAAACCTTATGACGGCAAGGACCTTTTAATTTTATTAGTGCATGATGTTAAACTGGTTAGAGAGCTCCATAATTATATGAGCTTAAACTGACGACTAAGTCATTTTTTAAGGATCTCACATTCTTCAAAATTTCTCTACTTCTCAATTTGCATTTCTCAATTTTCAAACCCCAAATATAGGACTAATCCCGATTTGGATACTTTCAAAACTGTGTCTGTCATTTTGAAAATTTTAAATTTTTTGTTTTAAATCATAACCTAGTACTAATATTTGTTTCTAAAACCTCTACCTATTTTCAAAACTCTCTATAATAAATTTGAAAATGAAATGCCTTATCCAGAGAATCAAATCAGGAGTACATTAAGGAAGATAAAACTTATGAAATTCCCTTCAAAACCCCTAAGCATCATTCAACCTTCTTAAACCTTTCCAGAAAATTTGGAAGTTTTCATAGATCTTCCAAGAAATCATTACGAAATAAAAAATAAAGTCCCTGAAACCTTCAATCCTTTGAGCCCTTAGAAAGCCTTGGGTGCAAAGGCAATGGAAATTTGAGATAAACCTACATTTGAATACATTTCATTTCATTCAGATTGTAAAACCTAAAATCAGTGGCAAGGTGGAAGCCAAGTAGTAATCCTGATATATCTACTTGTAAAAGCATTTTGAGAATGCTCAGTTTGTCAAAACCCTAGGATGAAAATTCCCGAGGTAACTGAGAGAGGATGGCAGTTGGTGTGCCCACGGACGGTGGGACCACCATCCTCTGACCATTTGGTTTTAGGCCTTTAAGATTTTATGAGCTCGCAATGTCTATTTTTTTGTTGTTTTTCTCTTCCTTGAAAGATGGAGAGTGCTAAAGAGGGGCAATTGCAAACACCCATCTGAATTTAATTTTATTTTTGAATTCTAAACCTTGGAGGATACTTTCACAGTACACCATAGAATACATTGAACCATAATCCATGCCCAGACCGTAGTCAGCCTTAAGAATATTTCCTGAATGTGTCATAAATCCCATTTTAGGATACCATCACTCAAATTAAGCAGGTTTCATGAAGAAAAGAAAGAGTACTTGAGAAGTTGTCAAAAAGGAATAAATAAGCAAAGGATCTAACAAAATATTGTCATAAATAAGCAAAGGAGAATTCTGCAATAATTGGTCCCAAAGCACAGTAATGATGCGGGGCACATTGCTAGACCCATTGGGTCCAGTGATGCACCTTGCGCCGTTGACATATGGATGGTCTAGATTCATCTCGGATCATGATCTTATTTTTGGGGTATTTTTCTTATAAATAGACCATCTCCAGTCATTTTTGACGACCAAAAACCCTAAACGCTAAGCTTAGGCCCTTGTAACCGTAGATTTATGACCTTGTTGCGGCCAACGTAAGTGCGAATCATTCATTTGATCCGAGCCTAACTCTAGTTCCCGAGCCTGTGGGCCCGACTTCCGGTTTTTTTCTTTTCTTTTTTGTTTTATTTTAATTTATTAATTTCTTTCTTTCATTATTATTCATTTTTATGCTCTGAAAATCCCTTTTAAATATGTTGTTTTCTCTATCTCATGTTTATTTCATATTTTGCATAAACCTTAGTCGGCTGACCGACCGATGATTTGTTGGAAGGGAGGCCTGATCTACTCATAAATCATATTTTAACAGAATCCACCAAAATTTAAGTTTGGACACGATCTTAGATAGATGGGACTTTTGAGTATATTATGCTCAATCTCATAATCGTCGGTGAACACATGACGAGAAACCCAAGATTTATCTTTAGGATCGTTTACAGGAGAAATTTGATTGAACAAACTATCCCATCCCGAGTTGATTAAATGAGATACGTGGGGTCTAAGCATGGTACCCAGAGTTGGGGCTCAGATTGTTGTATCTTCGAGTTTTAACGATCTAAAATTATCTTGAATTCCTTGGAAGTTAAGTTTTGCCTTCATCTAGGGTTTTGGTTTGAGCTTCGAAGGGATTTTCTTCTTCTTATAGAGATTAGTTCTTGAATCTCCTAGAGTCTTATGGTGACAGGTTGGTGATCTATTTATAGAGAAAAGTACCAAAAATCATGAACCAATCTGGACCATGGGGTGGCCAGCGATGCAATATGCATCTTGGGCTCAAGAACCTCACAATACTAGGCCATTTCGAGTCAATTTAACATGCCGGTCGAGTCATTTTTGAATATTTATACCATTTCATACTAAAATGGTTATTAGCTCATATTTTAGAGTATTTAGTTTAGATTAATTTGTAGGTGGTTAGTGTGTCCTATGATTCATTAGGCTGGGGTCTAGGGTTTAGAGACTTAAAAGTAAGACCAAATTCTGACGGGATGTATACAAGGTTCCAAATCCCATCAAACATTCAGTTCTCTTCAACATTATTTAGTTCTTCAATTCAAGATCAATTCTTCAAGCAAATCTTCAAATTGCTGAGGATTCAATACAGCTTCACTTAGTCTGATCTAGGCTCCAACTCCAAGTGTCGGGCCTGTTGCTCCGATTTGGCATGTTTATACTATTTTTTTTATGTTCTTACTTTTATGTTTCAATTATAGCATTAAATTTATTTTATATGAAATTTCGGTGATTTTGAGCTAGATATAGCCCGCGCTGCTAGCAACTTACAGGAAAGAAGTTGTAAATCTCCAAATTACATGCCAAGCTAGACCTTGATCTTATAATTTTTTATAGTAAAGTTTTAGGTTTCTCCCAAATTAGAGAGGGTAACTTCTGAATTTGCCTTCCTGGATTTCATAGTGGATCTCTCTCCCTCTGTGTGTGTAGACTTGGCTAATCGCCAAATTTAATCACCGGACAGCAGCCTCGTTTTTGTTAGATTCATGTTTTTGGTAAGCCTCTATGTGTGTGTCTTTGTGCTACTCGCCACGTTTCTTTGCCATTGTTAGGACCCTACTTGCCATCATATTTATGTTTTTTGGTAAGCCTCCCCTGGCTACTCACCAGATTTCTTTGCCATTTTTAGGACCCTCATTTCAATCAAATTCATATTTTTTGGTTCCTGATTCCTTAAATTTTTTTATGTTTTTGTTTTTATTTTGGCACCGTTTTCTTGATTATTGGTTTGGTGATTCGTGAATGGATGTGGAATTGCTGTTTATATCTATATCGGTCAATTTTTGGGGATTAGAATTTATCAATGCTCAATCCTCTTTTTTTGAGTTTTAGGTACCGGGATCCATGAATTCTTTTTTCATTTTACGAAAATTACGTCTGTATCAATAGTAAAAAGGGGTATTTTGTGCAGGTCCATATTTATGCAAATTTTAAGCAGAGGCCACCCAGCACGCTGTTTTTGTTTTTGTTTTTGTTTTTTTTTTCCAATTTTTCTCCAATTTGATGTTCTAACACACCAATTTTTTTTTTTTTTTTTGAAGTGTATGGACAGCCATTTGATGTAGGAGGTCGGGGGACAATATCAAATCCATCCAATATTTCCAATATCGGACTACTCTTAAGTCAAGTAGTTTGATGTAAATTCTTCGAAGCAAAACACAAGACTAACGAGTAGTGTAATATTTCGAACATTGGACTGTGGAAAACACAATCATAAGCCATCCAATACTAGCTTCAGACTGAGCGAAAAAGCAGAGTGATAATCGCTATAGTGGGTGTGATGTTTGTCAAATCGAACTGCAAAACATCGGACACACCCGAAATTGTCCCCCACATATACACATCCTCATCATCATTATCATCACAACCTTTTTCCACCTTTCAAAAAAGATAAAAATAAAAAAAAAGGATCGGTTGTTTAAAAAAAAAAAAACCCAGTGGTGACCTCCACGTAAATTTGAATAAATTGGACCTGCCCGTAATACCCCATTTTTGCAATGTTTCCTTCATTTTGTTTGCGCTTTGGGATTTTTAGGGCTTACACAACTCTCTCTTTCATTGTGGCTTTTGGATAACCAAACATGTGATTTACAGTAGTTGATTTAATTATTGAATTGGTAGTACTAAATTTTAATGATTTGAGATTACTGGTTAATTTTGGTTTAAAAAATTCTAATTTATGAGATTTAGTTTCCACAAAATATCTATTTTTACTTCTTTCTATATGATACCATTAGACAGCATTATGGTTCTTTGAGCTGCGTTCAGTTTGATCTTTGGTGGAATGATTACTCACTGGGAATTTAATGCTTGGAAAATGCCTGAACTTCTCCTTTGTTGTTTTTTTTTTTGCAAGTGGGGTGTGCTTATTATATTTTACCTTTGCTAATATTTACCCCAAAAGAATTGCTAATAATAACTTAGTAATTATAAAAGAACTGCTAATGAATAATGATATTTATAATTGTAATATCCCTTGAAGCTATGGTTCCACTTAGTAAGATAAATGAATTACTTGCAGGAAATCATACGTTTCCCAAACTGAATAACTGTGATCTGATGGCCCTCCATTGCTGAGTCTTAATTTTTTAACGTATTCAAAAGGTGAACATATGAATGTCCTCTTGAAGTGTTTGGTTTAGAATTTTCATTTATCAATAGCACCATGATTGTCAGTCGATTATAGAGAAAAATTAAGCTTCCCTTTGATGCTTGAAAATCTCTAGTACCTGTTATTTTTATGGTTTGAAAAATTTATTTTTATTTTTACGGTTTGATTGATCAATTTTTGGATGTTATGATTCCCCAACTATAACTCAACTTTCAGTGGGATTTAATGTGTTTGGAATGCATAGTGGGTGGGGTTTGACTTCAAAGTGCTCAAATAATGTATTTTGTTTAAAAATTATGATGACGATGGTGGCATGTATTGGGTTCATTATGGCAATATGCTTATTAGTCTCTCTCCCTCTTTCTCTCTCATGCACTGTATTCATGTTCGAAATATAGCTTATCAGGCTCTTTTATATTATAGATGTACAAAATTATTTAATTTTTAAATATCTTTTATCAAGTTGTAGGAATGTTTGGATGACATCCTATTATGAGAGTCATTAGTGCACTAATGACAGGTTTAGCTCATTGCATAGGATTAACAATTTGGTGACAACTTGTCAATCCTAATTGGCTGTACTTAAAGAAATTAAGACAGGAGTTATATTTGGATCTCAACTTCTATAGACTATGAATGTAAGAGTTACAAAATATGATTATCTATACAAAAAAGAGTAACCCCTCAAGTAATAGATAAAGAAAATGATGGAAAATTGGTAAAGGAGATTTACCAAGAGGACTCTCAAAGTAGCCTGTCATCGGATGGCTTAGTCTATAGGTTTTGGTATGGAACCTTAAGTCCCTCGTGTGATTTAAGGACAGATCCGAGTAAGTTGTTCATTTATTTATTTTCATTATTGGGACAAATAATGGTATCAGAGCCAGGTTGTTAAATCGACTTCCAAAAACAACTTGTTTGATCATCTTTTCATTTTTTTTATTAATATTTTGTTTTGTCTATATCATAAAGATTGGTACACAGATAAATGTTTTTGTGTCAAATAAAAAAAGGAAAAAATCAAGGCTATTTGTTTTGCTCTTTTTTTTTTTAACTTCTATAGTGATTTCTTTGAAATGCCCATAATAAATTAACATATTCCAATTTTTGCTTGTTATAAAAAGAAAATGAAAAAGAAAAAAAGAGGTCTTTTATGAGGGCATTTTCGTCCATTCCATAAAAACTAAGGCATTTTCGTCTATTCCATAAAAATCAGGGCATTTTCGTCCAGGCCATAAAAACTTGTTTTTATAGACCCATCCCATGAAAGAAAAGGGGCAAAACCCCTGCTCCTTCTCCTCTCTCTCTCTCTCTCTCTCTATTGTCTATTTCATTCCAAAGGAGAGATTTTCTCCTAATATTTTTGGTAAAGGCTATCTTGGGAATCAAGATCAGAAGCATTGCGAGTGGGATGAGGAACGAGAATGGTAAGTTCTATTTCCTTCTAATTTTTTTTTGGCTCTTCAATGGCTCTTTTTTTATTCTTTCGACTGAAACATTTATTGCCATTGATCATGAGCAGAAAATGTAACCTTTTTTTTTTTTCAACGATTCTGGTTGTTTTTTGCTAAAAATGGTCTTCTAAAATGGACATGCTGCCACTTGCCAAAATTACTTGTTTTTTTTCTTTCTTCAATGAGCATGGCTGTATCTTGCCAAATTTTTTTCTTCAACATGACTGTTTCTTTCCAAAATTACTTCTTGGATTATGAGCTGCACACTCTAATAGCTATAGTGCCTCATTCAGTTGTTATTTTTGGTTCCCGTGAAGTAATATATATGTAGTGCTTATAATATTGCATTATCAATATAATTCCCCCCTTTTGAGATAATAGATTGTCATCTTTTTTGTTGTTATCGAAATATGTAATTCTTTTCTATTTCATTGCTGTTTAATCCATTTTGTTATTATCACTTATTTTTTTTCCAAATATAGAGAGAGAAAATTATCTACTGGAACCCTATATGTTGTTGTTTGTTTGCTATTTAAGTATTTTATGACGAGAAGATTTGGAAGAATTATTGATTGAGCTAGGTTCACATTGAGGCTTCTTCAATTCACTGGTTGTTGCATATTTTTTTGAGCTATATTCTTGATAGTCCATACTATCACCAAGTAAGGTCACAACTATAAACTGGATTTATTTTTCTTGGTCTGTATTTTTTTTTATCATTCATGAATCCTAAGCTAGAATTGGAGATAAAAAGACTCAATGGGCCGAATTATAATACGTGGAAAAGAAGCTTAACTTTGATCTTAGAGCATTAAAGTTTAGATCATATTATTTCAACTGAAGTTCCTACTGAACCCACTGATGTTAGCAATAGGGCAGGAAGATCAGCATATGCTAATTGGGAAAAAGAAACTAAGAGGTGTAGGAACATAATTTTGCGAAATATGGATGATGAATTGTTATTGAGCTTTGATGAATTTAAAAATGCCCAAAGATAGTTATGATGAATTGACGATACAATTTGGGGTGACTTTTATGAGTACTTTAAGAGTATTGACTCAAGAGTACTATTATTTTAAGATGAAAGAAAATGACTATGTGGTTGAACATGTTAAGAAAATAATTTTGCTGGGCAAACAACTTATGAGTGCTGGTTATGCTTTGAATGATCAACAACAAGTTTAAATTATATTGCATAGTTTGTCTAATTCTTGGGAATATGTTGTAACTACTTTATCTTTAAGCTTCAATGATCTTACGCTTCAAAATCATGCTGTTGAATTGAAATTTGAAGGGGATCATAGATCTTCAAGGAGGACCGATGCACTTCGCATTGCTCAATCTCAAAACCCTTGAAATGGAGAATTCTCTAACAAAAGAAAACATTATCAACCTTGGAACAATAATAAAATGCATAATGTTAAAAATAAAAACAAAAAGCCTATGCACAATGGACCTAAAGGGGCATGTTTCATTTGTGAGAAGATGGGACACTTTAAATCCCAATGCCCAAACAAAGGGGCACCGAAGACACCCAACTAAGGTCGTGACTACTTATGTGTAGTAGTTGATTGTTTAATAGCTAATGTGTCTATTGATGATTGGTGGGTGGACTCTAGGGCCACTAAACACATATCCAGGTCTAGAGAGGGCTTTGTGGAAATTAAAGAGCTTAAAGTTGAGGAACATGTCATCTCTATAGACAATGATTCTAACTAATGTATTAGGTATTGGCACTTATAAATTAGCCATCCCAAATGGGAACTTCTTGCTCCTTTCTGATACACTTTATGCTCATTCCATGCATTGTAACTTATTGTCAGTCAAGAGGCTTGATGCCAAGGGATATGAAGTTCGTTTCAAAGATGTGAAAGTTTCAATTGAGATTAATAGGAAAATTATTGTATGGGGAAAAGCTCGAGGGGATATATATTTGCTTGATAAAATAAATGAAATTTCATCTTCTTTCTGCTTACTTGAATATGTGTGAAGATGAAACTTCTTTTTTGTGGCATATGCTTTTGGGTTATATTAGTAGAAATATAATTTCTAGACTTGTTAATGATGGCTTGATTCCTAAAATGATAAATTTAGATTTTAAAAATTGTGAACCATGTTTATCTGGTATAATAAGTAGAAAACCCTTTGGTAAGGCAACTAGATCTTATGATTTATTGTCTATTATTCACTCTGATATTGTTGGGCCACTTAATGTAAAAACATATAGGGGTATGGAGTATTTTATTTCATTCATTGATGATTATTCGAGATTTGGTTTATATATCTAATTAGTAGAAAATCTGATGCACTTAAAATGTTCAAAGAATTTAAATTAGAACTTGAAAACCAATTAGATAAAAGAATTAAAATCCTTAGAGTAGACCGAGGAGGAGAATATTGTTTTAATTTGTTTGATAATTTTTGTAAAGAAAATGGGATAATACATTATAAGATCATGCCCCACACACCCCAATAAAATGGTGTTGTCGAAAGGCGTAATCAAACTTTTATGGAAATGGTGCGATCAATGATGAGTCATGCTAACTTGTCTTCAATTTTTTGGGTGAAGCATTGCATACTACTATGTATATTTTAAACCGAGTTCCCTCAAAATACGTAGAGAAAACACCTTATGAGTTATGGACCGGACGCAAACCTCGATTAGAACATTTTAAAATTTGGGGTTGTGATGCGCGTGTACTTATCCCGAGCCATGAGAGATCTAAGTTGTAGGTTAAAACTAGAAAATGCTCATTCATAGGGTACTCTAATACTTTTAAGGGTTATAGGTTTTATGACCATGAGACCAAATCTTTGGTTGAATCTAGAGTTGCACATTTCTTAGAAGAACATATGAAAATAGGCAAACTCTCTCTTATAGAAATACATGAATTAGACAATAACAAAGGAGTAAATGAAAACATAGAACATTATGAATCTAATGTAGAAAACTTTGATAACTACATAAATAGTGGGAGTCATACATTTGAACTTACTAATGTAGATGATAGTGGACCTAGGAGAAGTTCTAGGAACAAAAGAGCACCATATCATTTAGAGCCATATTAGAGTTTTGTTTGCATGGACACTTTTGACCAATACTATAATTTTACGTGTCAAGATATTCTTGAACCTTCAAATTATAAAGAAGTTATTAATTCTGATGAGTTCGATTTTTGGAATAATGCTATGAATGAAGAAATTGATGCTATAACTAAAAACCGTGTATGGGAGTTGGTGGATTGCCTAGTGGGATAAAACCCATTGGTTGCAGATGGATATTAAAAAGAAAACTCAAGGCTGATGGTAGTATAGATAAATATAAAGCACGGCTTGTTGCTAAAGGATATAACCAAAAGGAAGGTATAGATTTTGTTGATACTTTTTTTCCAGTAGTTAGATTTATTTATGTTAGAATTTTGATGTCTATTGTGGCCAACCTTTATTTAAAATTATTTCAAATGGATGTTAAAACTGCATTTCTCAATGAAAATTTAAATGAAGAGATATACATGTCACAACTTGAAGTATATATTGTTGAAGACAAAGAAAATAAAGTGTGCAAACTAATTAAATCACTATATGGATTGAAGCAACTTCGAGACAATGGTATTAAAAATTTCATGATGTAATTATGAAACTTGGTTTTGTTTCTAATGAAAGTGATCATTGTATTTTTATTAAGATTAGTAGGAGTAAGATAGTGATATTGTCTTTATATGTAGATGATATTTTCTTTGCTGGAAATGACCTAGATATGATTAATGAAACAAAATCATGGATGAAATATAATTTTGAAATGAAAGATATGGGGGTTGCATCATACGTTTTGGGAATGGAAATTACAAAAGATAGATAAAAAAAGATGCTCAACTTATCTCAAGAGCATTATTTAGAATCTGTTCTTAAGAAGTTTAAAATAGATTTATGTAAGCCGGTCTCCACCCCTGTTGATAAAGCAGTTAAATTATCCATTGATTTATATCCTACTAATGATAATGATGATATGAGAAATGTTTCATATGCTCAAGCCATTAAATGTATTAATTATGTTGTGTCATGCACTAGATCATATCTATGTTTTACTGTTGGACTTGTTAGCAGGTATCAAAGAAACCTCAGAATGATACATTGGCAAGCAGTAAAAAGGATATTAAGATATATTCAAGGAACAAAAAAAAACAAGTTGCACTATCAAAGTTCTTCCCTTAGGCCTCAGGGTTACTCTGATGCAGATTGGAGTGGTGACTATGATGATAGTAATCTACTTCAGGTTTTAGTTTCACACTTGGTGGAGGTGCTGTATCATGGTGCAGTAAAAAACAAGATTGTGCTACTTTATCAACCATGAAAGCAGAAGCAGTTCAGGATCACAAGAGGCTATTTGGTTGATAAATTTCCTCATGGATTTAAAGTTTGAATGTATTGAAAATCTATAAACATGTTATGTGATAATCAAGCAGCCATTGCCGTTTTCAAGGATTAAAAAATAAATTCTAAATCCAAACACATTCGCAGGACGTACCACTATATCCGAGATGTAGTGGAATATGAAGATATAACAGTTGATTACATACTTTCAAATGAGATGATTGCAGATCCATTGACTAAGGCTTTGAGCTAGGAAATTTTCTAGAAATATGTAACAAATATGAGACTAAGATAAGTCCAAATGAAAATCCAATAATAGTTCATAAAATCATATTGGTGGGTATATGGAAATCCCATGTGGAAAACATGAGGCAATGCTATATAAAAGATGTAAGAGAGCCTTCAGGCTAGGTATATGGAAATCTCATGTAGAAAGTATGAGGCAATGCCATGTATAAGAAGTTAAAGGGCTTTCAGGCCAAGTGGGAGATGTTGGAAATATGACCTATCAGGCCCTTTTATTCCAGGAATTTATTTTTCAAAATAGTACGAAAGACATATTGTATAGTAAATGTGAAATCTCATGTGGTTGACATGAGGCATTACTATATACTTTGATCCATTTTGGGCTTTTAAAGGATGTTGCATTGGAGGGAAAACCTAGTGATGTGTTTGGATTCTTTGTACGTATTTTTTTTTATATTATAGATGTACAAAATTATTTAATTTCAAAATATCTTTTATCAAGTTGTAGCAATACTTGGATAACATCCTATTATGAGAGTCATTAGTGCAATAATGTTAGGTTTAGCTCATTGCATAAGATTAATAGTTTGATGACAACTTGTTAATCCTAATTAGTTGTACTTATGGAAATTAAGGCATGAGTTAATACGAGGATCTCGACTCCTATAGAGCATGAATGTGAGAGTTAGAAACTATGGTTATCTATAAAAAGAGGTTAACCCCTCAAGTAATAAATAGAAAAAATGATGGAAAATTGGTGAAGGAGATTCACCAGAGGACTCTCAAGGTAGTCTGTCACTGGATGACTTAGTCTATAGGTTTTGGTATGGAACCTTAAGTCCCTCGTGTGATTTAAGGATAGATCCGAGTAAGTTGTTCATTTTTTTATTTTCATTATTGGGACTAACAGTTCATTGATCTCAACTTCAATGGTGGTGGTACGACAATGTGCTAATCTCTCTCTCTCAATTTGAAGAAACTTAGATTTAGTATGGGTAGATGAGAATTCTAATACTTGGGGGCATTACTAAGAAAGTAGGTATTAACAAAATAAAATTAATCATCAAAAGAAAAATTCAGGGTTTTTAAGTAAACATCAATAGATTTACAACAAATAAATAAATACATAAAATTTATATTAGATTTTAAATAAATAAGAAAATTACCCTTATAACTTGTAAATCAATTCAAAGATATAAATAAATCTAAAAAGAATAAAAAACCTTTAAAAACCTAAAAAAAGAGAAAATTGAGCAAAATTGAGTTTCTGCATATAAGTGAGCCAAACAGTAGAGATACAAAACCGGGTTCTTTTCATATGCTCGGCAAATTCCCATAAATATGAAACTTCTGCTTTGCTCCAGGAGGTTACTCTAGAGAAAATTATAGATGCACCTCTAGATCATACTTTCTACTCGTATCCATTATGAGTACTTTTTAAACCATACCACAGATCTCAATAATATTTGTTTTTACCCTCCATCCCCAAGCAAAAAAGTAGTTATTTTTCGACTCGTGTACAAACCCATATTATTTCCAACCCTTCACTCTCTCAAGGCTTTCAAATTTTAGAGATTTTCTCTCTCTAAAAACTTGAAATTTGAGATAGTTTCTATCTCTAAAATTTTAAAATAACTTCTCTCTCTAAAACTTGAAATTTGATATACTATCTCTCTTTAAAAATTTGAAATATGAGATAGTTTCCATCTAAAAATTTAAAATTTGAGTTAGTTTGCTCTTTCTAAAATCTTTAAAATAGTTTCTCTCTCTCTATGGTTTAAAAAGTACTCATGGTTGTACCTTTTTCTATAATTGACACACTCTTATAAATTTAAGAGTGTCAATCGGATTGACCTGCCGATCCCCTTGGTTGACCTGATCCAGATGTCTGGATCTGGACCCTGTGGGTTAGTTCGAGGTCCAGGTTTGAATCCTTCTTGGGTCTTATTGGGTCAGTTTGAGACGAGCCTTCGACCCAAAAAAAAAAGAAAAAACCTTATAACGAATGGAATGGATTGTGTGTGGTGGAGGTCATTATTATGGAGCAGATGAGCAATTCCTTAACCATCTTGGTGAGAATTTATGCGAACAAATCATATATGGTGTGGTCTGTCCATTTTAGCATCTTCTCTTCCCTCACCCTCTCGCTCTTGTTCCCCACTTCTGCCTTCTCACACTTATTCCCCTATACCAACCACTGCTTCCTGTTCCTATCTAGGCCAGTTATCAACCAAGAGTTGAGATTTATTAGCTTCATAATCAACGGACCAATTCAAGTTAATATGTAACTTTGGTCGACCGGTTAGGGTTGGCAATGGGCCGGTCGGCACCGCACTACAATAATAGGGCCTGGCCCACAAACCGTGGACTCAAGGCCGGGCTAGGATAGTGCTGGCCTTGTTCGGCCCTCTTTTTTTTCTTAGTGATTTACGTACGGATTTTTTTAAAAAATACAAAATGCTTCTAGTGGAAATTACAAAAAAGGTCGGTTATCCCCCTTTTTTTTTTTTTTTCTTTTTTGTTCAAAATTGCGCCTCTTTCCGAGGATAAATTTTAATTTTAATTTTTTTTTAGTTTTTTGTTAGTAGGGCACTGCCTTACTAATGAATAAACTAAAACAAAAACAATTAAAACACAAACCGAGTATTGGCAATTTTGAGAAAAATAAAAAAGGTGGATTGACATACCTTATTTGTAAGTTCTGCCTATCAACATAGAATTGGTATTTTAGAAAAAGAAATTTAGATCCCGTATGTAAATTACTTTTTTTTCTTTGATTTTTCTTATTTTTTTGGCCCGACCCAAGGCTAGGGACTGGGCCTATGGGGACAAGGGCTCGGCGAAGGCCAGCCCTGGCCTGGTCCATTGCCACCCTTAGATCTATCGATATCTCCAAATTGGACCTCTCTACATTGATGCTAATAAACCTTGGTTAGGAAGATCCATGCCAACATCTTTACATATCCAAACCATAGAATCTTCTCTACTCATTCCCCACTTTCTTATTCCTTTGCGTCTGGCATTGCTCCATTTCCTCTCCTCTAACGTTGGGGAATTCATGAACCATGTGATGAGATTTATTGGCCTCACAAGTAACTCGCGAACTTAAATTACCATCTAACTTTTTATGGATCTTTGCGTCAGACTAGAAATTCTGGTTAGATCTCCTAATTGATGCTCATAGCTAAGAGTTATTACTGCATCTGAACGTTGGGTTACATGGGCGTTACCATCACAACTACACTTACACTTGTTGGTTTCTACACCATTGATTCGGTGGTAGGGGTGGCAATAGACCCGACCAGACTTGGGACCCGATGGGTAGACCCGACCTTGGGTCTGTATGGGTCCAAAATTTGAACCCAAAAGGTTGGGTCCGGGTGTAAAACCTAGACTCAAATACTATTCGGGTCTAAGTTTGGGTCCAGCTAGACCCCACTCAAAATAACATGGCGTATATGCGGGAATTCATAAATATTGCCAATGCATTTGTATCTTAGAAGTTTTCAATTATTACATAAAACAGTAAGGAATGTAGGTATATGTGGGTATTCATAGATGTTGTACAATACTGTAAATGTTGCCAATAATATAGGTATATTGTATATGATGGCAAAAAAAAAAAAGAACTCATAGTTATAGGGTGGCAATGGATCTGACCAGACCCGGGAACCGACAGGTAGACCCAACCTCGAGTCTGGGTATAGATCCAAAGTTTAGACCCGAAAGATCGGGTCTGGGTCCAGAACCTAGACTTGAATACTATTCAAGTCCCGGTCCATGAGGACCCGACTCGTTGCCACCCCTATTCGATGGCCATGTACGTTACTACCGGATGTTTGTTTTGTTGAAAAGTGCCATCTTGGGGGACTCGAGAGTTTGTTCTCGAAGGAGCCTTTCATCACTTGAGAAAGCATTTTCATACATAAATAAGTATAAAGTGCCTTTTTCACAAAAATACATAGTGGCACTCGAAAAAGGCTGGGAACGTGCTTCCTAGCCGTTACAATCTGTATAGATTTTCTATAAAACAAACATGAGAAAGCGGCAATCAACTGAGAAAGAACTTTCACGTTGCCAAGGGACAGGTGGGGGGTGTCAAAATGGGTGTCTAGGGTTTCATTCTTACCAAATTCTATTAAAATAAAAAATAAAAAAATATAATAGAGTTCTTTCTTGCGAATCAAATGTGCCCTTAGCGGCGGTGGATGCATTATGGCCCATAAGAATCGAACCAAGAACCAAAATGCATTAGCACACATATTCTCCATTTCTTTTATGCCTCCATAGAGGTAATCCTTACTTCCATTAGAAGCTATTTTACCTTTCTAAGAAAGTTTACGGCGTGGGAATCGGTTCAATTAAAAGGAAGATCCTTTGTTTGTTTTCTTCAATAAAATCGAAGATCGTTTGCCTTGTTCAATCACCTTATTTAAACGCCACCAAGGCATGGCATGCATTGTGTGGCTCAATTAAGAGGGTTTGCGTTGGTATTGGTGGATTTGGAGGGGCCCCCAATTGCATGAGGACTCATTTTTATTAAAAACGTTCACCTTCACCAACAACTCCCAATTCCCCTAAATATGAATACATAATATGAAGGAAAAAGTCGGCACTACACATTGAAATCAAGATGCACTTTAAAAATTCACTAAAAAGCTCTTTTAATGC